AATATATAAAACAAAAATATTCAAATAGATGAGTGACAGGAATATCAGTAGAGTAGATAAAGGGTAATAGGGAGAGGGAGCAGGACAGAGAAAGGCATGGCACCAAGGACTGAAATGGAAGAAATTAAATTCCATGCATGTATTCTTAATAAGAAGTATTCTGGAAGAGAGAACAGTATGTGCAAAGCCTCTGAGGCAAGAGTGGGTCAAGAAGTCCCACGCAGCACCAGGCAGGGTGGCACATGCTAGTAATACCAATGACTCAGGAGGCTGAGGCAAAAGGATCACAAGTTCTAGGCCAGCCTTAGCAACTAAGCCATGCCCTAAGCAATTTAGTGAGACTCTGTCTCAAAAAAAAAAAAAATAAAAAAGGTTGGTGGGGCGGGATTGGGGTTGTGGCTCAGTGGTAGTGTGCTCACCTAGCATGCAGGAGGCACTGAGTTTGATCCTCAGCAACACATAAAAATAAAGTCAATAAAGTCCATCAACAACTAAAAAAAAATTAAAAAAAAAAGGCTGGGGATGTAGCTCAGTGGTAAAACCCCTGGGTTTAATCACCAGTACACACACACACACACACACACACACAAAGAAGTTTGGGGGAGGGGAGGTAAAGAAAGAAACATATACGTATATATTGGTAGATCTTTGTGACTAGATATTGAGGTTATAGAGAATCAATATGCCACCCAAAGATACGCTACTTTGGTGCATTAATTATTCAGAGTTAAACACACTTGAAAAAGAGCAGATGTAAGAAGGACACTCTGACCTTCTTTTTTATTGTCCTTGTTCCCCCCACCCCCAGGGGTGGGGAGAACATATGTGACACTGGGGAACAACTCAGGGCCTCTCACATGCTAGGTAAGGGATCTACCACTGAGCTACACATCCAGGGCCTGACCTTCCTTTTTATTCTTGAAAGTAGGAGGTAAAATTCCCACATGAAAGGCGCTCTCCCTATAGGAGAAAGATATACACCAGAGGCAGATTGGAGGCTGAGAGAAGTCTGTACAAGCCTTGTTAATATTTATTTTCCAAACACTCTTCCACAATTAACTGACCTAGCACATCCATTTTTGTCTTGCCACATTTTCACAATTTACTCTTCTTTGTCCAACCTAGTATGTAAGTGATGGACTCTGTTTCCTTGGGTCATCATTTTTCTTGTGACACGTCCCCTGTACGTGTAAAAATTACTAAATAAAATTTGTATGCTTTTCTCCTGGTAACCTGCCTATGTCAGCTTAAGCTCAACCTGAAACCCTAAGCAGGTAGAGGAGAAACTCTACCTCCTCTCCAGGGTTAAAGAAAATGACTGGTTTCTGGCTTGGGCAATGGAAAAGTTAATGATATCTCAAACTGGAATAGGAATTTCAAGCCTGGAGAATGAAGGGTCAATTGTGAACAAGCCCTGTGAGGCATCCGGATACAGATGTCCAGTCAGCAGTTAAGCATCTGGGTCTGGAGCTCTAAGAAGTGGTCCACCTAGAGAAAGGACTTTTTTGGGATGATTTGTAAATAGGAAACAGAGGCCACAAAACTTGCCTAGGAAGAATGTGTAGGGTGAGAAGACAGTCTAGAACAGTCCCTTGAAGCACTCTAATGTAGGGGAACTGGCAGAGGGGCTGCAAAGGAGATACTAAGGTACGGGGCAGAGGAGCAAAAACCAGAATACTGTGTCATCAAATCCAAAAAAAGAGGATGAAGTGACCCAGAGGAAGGGTAGAGGAAGCCTCAATGTCAGGTAAGGAGGACATCAGGCCACATACACTAAAGACAAAATGAGGGGTGCAAAGAGGACTAAAGGAATTCAGAAAATGAGTATACTTACTTTAAACAATGTTTCAATGAGGCCTGTATCTTGCCAATAATACCAATTCTAGCTTTTTGAATAGCTTCCCAAATGCCTCCAAATCTGATTGAACATGAAATAGATCAAGAAGCAGGCCAAGGAAAAGAAATATTTGCCATTTGAGGGATAATGCTTATTGTAATTCATCTCTACTCACCAGCTTAACATAGTGGATAACGGATGACAGCAGGATGCCCAAGTGGTTACTAGATGCCATAGTTAAGTATGTCAAACAGGAACAGGCAGGAAATAAAAATGCCCTAAAAGACTAAAAGATCTCGGGGCTGGTAGATCTCAGTGGTAGAGCACTCACCGAGCATGTATGCGGCCCTGGGTTTGGTCCTCAGCACCACATAAAAATAAATAAGCAAAATAAAGGTTTTTGTCCATATACAACTAAAAAAATAAAATAAAATAAAAAGACTAAAATATCTCAACAGTCAGAGGAAAAAAAAAACATTCTTTTTTTTTTTTGAGGAGAGAACAGGTGGAAAGCTTTAGGCAAATTCTAAGCTTGTAAGTCAGAGCACCAACCATCACAGAGTTTTAAAATGCTGACTCTAAATACATACACACGTTCACATTAAGTATCATTTTAATGTATTCTCTTGATAAAGCTCTACATTTGAGTTTACAAAAAAAATACAGCACAAAAACTGAGTCGGCAGCATGTTATATGAAAAAAAGAGCTCAGGTTGTAAAATAAACTAATTTGGCATGAGTAATATTGTGTTGCTGCTAGAGAACGTAAACACAACTTTAGTTTACTTTAATAGAGATATCTAGATTACAAAATTTTGTTCTACTGCATTCTAAATTATCAGGATAAATCTGGAATATTGTGTTCAGTTAAAAGGGTCAAATTTTAAGAGTAATGTCTATTACCCATACCTTTTCTTTTCATTTCCACTAACAGATTCTCTCATCTCATATCTGGCATGATAGATCATTTCCAAAGATGTCCAACTATCTCTTCCATTGCATATGCCTCTTGTAGCGTTGCTTTACAACTCTTTCCATTAAGAGGTGGAGTCTGTTTTTTCCTCCTGGTGAATGCAGGATGACCCTGTGTCTCAATTTGACCAACAAGAAGTGATGGGTTTGACTTACAGAGGTAGAGCTTCAGGGGCCCCACAGATTCCATTTTCACCCATTTGGTTGCCAGCTACCAAGTCAAGAGGCTGTGGCTAGACTATGAATAATAAGAGGTCAATGTGAGGACAGAGGTTATTGGAGAATTGAGGGGCACACCCAACAGCTACCAACAGCTTGCATCAAGGCCCTAGCTAGACACATGAGTGAAGCTATCTTCTAGACCTAAGTCAAGCCAATAACAGTAATGTTCTGTATCTTTGTTCAATATGGTAGTCACTAGCCCTAAAGGTTATTGAGTCTTTGGAATGTGACTAGGGCATCTGAAGAACATTTTTAATTTCATTTGATTTTAACTAACTGAACTCTAAATAGCTAATTAACTATTTAACCTAACTTATTAGCTATTTAACCTAACTTACTCAGAATAATCCTGCTAAAAGAAGAGGGCACAGGGCAGTCAAAAATCACCTTAGCACTTGCCCCGTGTGGGACGACAAATACATAAATCAGTATTTTGAGACAGGTAGTGGAGAAGGATATAGATCTGTCAGTTGGTGTTTAAAAAAAAAAAAAAACTTCACTCCAACATCACCCAAAGTAAAAAACAGCTCTAACTTAATTTCACATGTCCAGACAACAGAATGTAGTCCCAGGTCTAGCCTAGAGAAGTCCTGGACAGATTTTTTTTTTTCCGCCTGATACCAGGGATTGAACCCAGGGGTATTTAACCACTGAGCCATATTCCCAGCCCTTTTTTATTTATTTATTTATTTATTTATTTACAGGCAAGTATCTAAGTTGTTTAGGGTTGCTAATTGCTGAGGGTGACTTTAAACTTGAGATCCTCTTGCCTCAGTCTCCCAAGCAGCTGGCAATACAAGCATAAGCCACCACTCCCAGCTCTGACAGAAAATTAACCTTCAAAAACTGTCTTGTCTGCTGAAAGTCACAATTTTAATAGTTTCTAGTTCTTGTTTTTGAGGTGGGGGGAGTAAGGAAGCAGAAAGGAAATTTGAAAGTGTCTACAGTGGTACTAGACGCTGCCACATCTACTAATGGACTTAATTTCCTTGATCATTTTTTCAGATTATGCAAATAGAAGCTCAGAGAGGTGCCCAAGAATCTGTTAAGTAGTTGGCGCAAGAGACAAAATTCAATACCAGGCCACTGGACTTCTAATACTACACTCTGTAGTACACCAAATGGCATCTTCTATCAAGAATAAAAATTTCAAACTGCCTTTTGAGATTTTTCCGTCATCTCGTCACCTCAGTAACTATTTTCAGCAAGTGCCTTAACTGTTTACCAGGTGACCTCATCTCTCCTGCTTTCATTTACAATATCTTGTTTTTTCTTCTAATTATACCTATCCTTCAAACTCTAGTTTAAATCTTTTTCTTTTCTTTTTGTTAATCCCAATTAATTTATCCCTCCTCTGAATTCTTACACCGTTTATAATGGGCACCACATAATGTAGCACTCTTTGCGTTACCCTTAGATAGGCCTTGAGGACCCGCCATTCTATATGTTTGGAGAGAGTCAAACCTCTAAAATTTACCCCGGAGCTGTAAATAGGTATTTCTGGAATGGATAATGATCTAAACTCAAAAGACAAATACTTTTTGGTTAATTCAAGTCGGGCCCAAATTCTGGTGTTTTACCCTTTGCTCTATCTACTCTGCACCAATTAATCCAGAAGGGGGGAGTGTAGCGAATCCAGACTCCAACTCTGCCACGTAAGGATCCCCGCCCCATCCGTCAGGCCACTCCCAGCCTGCAGGTTGCCGATTGGGCAGGGAAGCGTATAGCGTGGACGATTGGGCGTGGCGTGCGTGGGTGAAGGCGTGGCTGAGAACAGGAAACTACGCGTTGGGTCAAACTCGGTAGTTTCCGGTGATCTTCGACAATTTCCGGCAACGGTCGCCTTCTCGGCCGACTCACTTCGGGCATTTCCGGCCAATTTCGGGCATTTCCGTCTTACTTTCGCCTGCATCTCTATTACTTCGGATATTTTCGTATTCCGCTCGGAGATACTCGGCAATCGCTCGGCCTCCCCCATCCCCCGGTAACGGTCGCTGGTGAGTTTAAATGAGCCGGGGCTGGCCGGGCCGGAGCCGCTACGGGGGGCGGCCTGAGGCACTGCAGAAAGTGGGCCTGAGCCTCAAGGATGACGGTCCTGCAGGAACCCGTCCAGGTAATGATAACCCTCTTCTCTGAGACTTGGCTCGCAGCCTCAGTCAGGAAACCGCGTATGGCCACTTCGCGGCCTGGTGCGGCCTAGGCCAGGCTGCTTCTCCCGCCTCTCCCCCTGCGGGTCGTGCCGTTCTTCCATCGTTTCGAGGCCTTGTTCGCGGCCTAAGCCGTGTTACCTCTAGCCCTACCTTACTTCTACCCCTAGTGTGAGCGGCGTTTGGCGGTAATGCCTGTTTTTCTGTCGGAGTCCGCGTCCACCAACCTCTCCTGCGAGTCCAGGGGCCTGGCCTGGCGCGGGGTGGGGGGGGGTGATATGAGGGGGCCGAAAACGCGCCCCAGGTGCTCTCTTGTCTAAAGGATGATTGAGAATCACATTTGAACGGCGCTGGTACGATCTTCGAAAAGGTGGGGCAAGTTTGCGGGGTTTTTCTTGTTTTTGTTTTTGTTATGTGTGAGAGGATAGGATCGGCATTTTTAATAGTAATTTCTATTTTGATGCCAGACATTGTAACCTATGTTGTCTTTCTCGCTCAGTGGATTCCCCACTGGACAGTGTTGACCTGAGAAGAGAACTCAAAGGCCCGGGCGCGCCCGGTGCAAGCACCTATAGAAGGGAAGGGAGTAGAAAGGACGAATCTGGGTTTTTCCATTACCTGTGATGAGGATCAAAAATATTTCATTGTACATGTTTAAAAGACATTCAGGAAATGAAAGATAAATAATGTTTTTTCCGTCCATTTCACTATCCTTACCACATCAAGGTATGCTTTGACGCACAGTTGCTGTTACCAGGGAGGAAACCCTATTGGATTTTAAGTGTGTGATGGAGTGCCAAGTCGTTTTCCCCCCTGCCATCTGGAGAAATTGAATCTTTTGTCCCTTGGTGATGGACCAGGTCTGGAAGACCTTCATCCCACCATGTGATCTTTGACTTGGCCAGAGGAGTTGACCTCTTATCAGCTGCTGTCATTGAGTCCTGGACTTTACTTTGAAGCTATAAAGCAAACCAGTTTTAGAAATTTCTTCATATTGCCCTTAAGAGACCTGTGGTATCAAATAACAAATACTTTAATATATCACTACTTCTGTATTTCCTTAATTTTTCTTCACAACATGAAATGCTCATTTTTCCTACTTTGGCTTCATCTCCAGCTCTTTATGTATAACAACCATTAGTATTTTAATTAACATAATGCATGATTTTATCTTAAGAAATTTACCTGTTCCTAAGTTGTATCAGTTTTTCCAAAGCTGTTTCTTTCAATCCAAATTTCTCTTGTGGTGTAGAGTTCCTTTTACGGTTTTTTTGAGACCCAACATGAAATTAAATGGATTAGTAGATTGCTTAAATTAATTTCTGTTTCATATTTTTGTAATTTTGTATTTCTGGCCCTAAAAGACTTCTGAAGTGATAAAGCAGTTGCATTTATAGCCTATAATGACAACTTAATAATAATTTCAACCTGTATAAAAGCATGGAGTGGAATAGAAATATGTATCCTATTCTAGATAGTACCCATCAGGTTTTCTATTTTTTTTCTTAAAGTACTCTCAGGATTAATACACTTAGATATTTTTAAGGCTTAAAAGTCAAATTCATCTTTTTCTACCCTCCCTGATTCTAGCTTGTCCATTAGATTTTGGGATGGTAAGTTTAGGATATAACTAGGTGAATTCAGTGAGGTGTGCAAGCCTGTAATCCCAGTAGCTCGGGAGGCTGAGGCAGGAGAATTACAAGTTAAAGGCTAGCATCAGCAACTTTGCAAGACCCTGTCTCGAATTTTTAAATGATAAATACCAGGGACTTAGCTCAGTAGTAAAGCAACCCTAGATTCAATCCCAGTACCACCACCACCCCCCAAAAAAAGTGGGAGGATATGACTAGGTTAGAATTTTGGTTGTAATTTATGGTATAAGAAGCAGCTAATTAAGAAGGGATCTTTAACAGTGGGAGGAGCAAGCAACTTTGACCACAGTTATGAAGATCAACTGATGAGGCATAGTATTGAAAGTGGGAATGAATTAGTAAGGAAAAGAGTAAGAGAGTCTTAAAAAAATGATGACTGATTCCATATATTTGAAAAGGAATGAGAATAAATTTGGAAAATAGTTTTCTTTCTTGGAATGCCTAAGGCTTACGGTATTACTAGGCATAGGAAAAAGTTGACAGATAAAATGAGCAGCCATTTTATTTATCACTTTTAATTTATCAATTATTCCCAGGAGTAAGATTCACAATTAGAAGTGTTAGATAAAGTTGTAAACCAAGCCTTTTGAAAATCACTTTAATAAGCAATATAGTAATTGGGTACCATATACACAGTATTGTTTTAGAGTTCTTAGACAGTAAAAAAGTACTTTATGGCTCAAGAAATAATGAGAGGTAGAACCATTGAGACATGGAAATTGATTTGATGTGAAGGTGGGGTAGATATCAAGAATGACTATGTGTGGTGGTGCACACCTGTAATCCCAGTGACCCAGAAGGCTGAGGCAGTAGGATTGCAAGTTTGAGACCAGCCTTAGCAATTCAGCAAGACCCCACTTCAAAATAAAAAGAACTGTAATATAGTTGACAGATAAAGTGACCCTAGGTTCAATCCTCAGTACCCAAGAAAAGAAAAAGAAAAAAGAATGACTGTCTGGATTTCATTTTGTTGGTGCTATTTAAGAAATGGAGAATCCTTTGGGGATGGGGGTAGATGTGAGGGAGGGCAATTAAACATTCTTTTTTAAACAAATTAAATTGCAGGTATTTGTGAGACTATCAAGTATTGAGGTATAACTCCTAATTTTAAGAGGAAGATAAGAATGCTTAACAGGAAAAATTGAGTAATGTTACAAGTCAGTATGTATTTGATAGCACAAATAATAATAAAGGAATTTGGGGGGCTGGGATTTGTAGCTCAGTGGTGGAGCGCTCGCCTAACATGCATGAGGCACTGGGTTTGATCCTCAGCACCACATAAATGTAAAATAAAGATATTGTGTCCACCTAAAACTAAAAAATAAATATTTAAAAAAAAAAAAGGAATTTGGGAAAAAGATATCTTTTCAGGCCAGAATAATGGGAAAGGCTTCTTAAAGGAGCAAAACTTAAAGCCTAAAATTTTTGAAGAGTTTGGAATTGATAGAGAAGAAAAAGAATATTTGTGGCATGGAATGGCATGAGCAAAAGCCCAAAGATTATAATATTGTTTAGGGAGAACAGCAAAGTATTGTAACCCTTGGCTTGAGTAGGAATTGAGAACAGGAAGAAGAAGGTTTTAGTAGCTGGGTAGAAGCAAGTTATAAACCTCCAGGCTGAGAGGTTTAGATTTGATGTGATAGTGAATAACCATTGTATGAGCAAAAGAGTTTTTGAGTAGAAGAATTACATAATGAAAACACTGCTTTGGGAATATTAATCTGCTGCTATTGGCAAGAAAGAAAGAGGTAAGAATTTAGATATACAAGTTACTTAATTTTGGTACAAAATTTTGAGCCAGCTAATATTTGTTGGTGGGGAGGAGGGTATAAGAGGGAGTACATCGTAGAGCATTTGGCAATATTCCTGGCCTTTACCTACCAGATTTTTCTTTATTTCCCCCACCACTGACATTGCTAAATGGGGAGGAAGGATTTGCCCAATGATATAATCCAAAAATAAATTAGAGTTCTTTTTTTTTTAATAGACCTTTATTTTATTTATTTGTATGCACTGCTGAGAATTGAACCCAGGGCCTCATACATGCCAGGCAAGTGCGCTACCACTGAGCCACACCCCAGCCCCACTAAATTAGAGTTCTATACATTAAATTAAAATATATAATGTAAAAGTCCACAATGATGTTTTGGATTTTTTTGTTTGTTTTCCTTATCACTTCTTTTATCAGCTGAAGTTTTTATTATTCATTGCTGTTATGGTTATTTGAAAAGCAGCTGTTTTCTTTTTTTACAAAAACAAGAACAAAACAATTTATAGTAGTCACATTTAAGTCTGAGTACGTACAGATATTTGTTTACATTTAAAATAGTATTTCAGGTTTAAGAATAACAAGTAAGGAATTTTGCAACTTTATGCTGTTTGTTTACTTTTAAATTAATGGAACCAAGGACCAAGCCATTAATTTAATGAGTGACATTTCTCTTAAACATTTTGTGGGGATGTGGGGAGGGAAGGAATGTTGCTCTGTTTGGCTTCATAACTGTTTTTAGCAGCATTAACTACATCTGGCATTAATTTTTAGAACTCTAGAGGTTGATGTACTAAGTGCTTTTCTTTTGGTGGAAGCCTACACCATCAGTTGGATAAAGGTAGATGAATAACCAGGAGCTTATTTTAGCTCTGCTCATCATCAGCTACTAATTTGTAGTGCCTCAGAGTAATCTGCTCCCCCCACCACCAACCCCAGAGAGACACCATCACTTAGGAATTTAGAGGTGATTTCTCAGAGTATGGATGGAAGCTATAGGTGGGTTTCTGTAAGTGGTGAGATTAACTTCTGGATTTATAAAAGTTTGTGTTGGCTGGCATTATTATCTTTCTGATGCTAAAAGTGGTAATAAAGGACTGGGTATAGTGCAGGCTTTTAATCACAGCAGCTTGGGAGACTTAAGAAGGAGGATCACAAGTTTGAGGCCAGCCTCAACAATTTAATGAGACCCTACCTCAAATAAAAAGGGCTGAAGATGTGGCTCTGTGGTAGACTGCCCCTGAGTTCAGTCCACACTAGCATACCCTACCACTCCCACCAAAATTGGTATTAAAGGAATGAATATGATACTTTATTCTCTTTCATTTCTTTAACTTTGAAAAGTCAAAAAAAAAAAAAAAAGTGGCACATACCTATAATCCTGGTGGCTGAGAAGGCTGAGGCAGGAGGATCTCAAGTTCAAAGCCAGCTTCAGCAACTTAATGAGACCTTCTCTAAAGGGTTGTTTTGTTTTGTTTTCCTTTTGGTGGTACATGAGGATTGAACCCAAAGCCTTGCACATCATAGGTAAATACTCTATCACTAAGCTATATACCCAGCCCAAGAACCTGTCTCAAAATAAAAAATAAAAAAGGGCTGAGAATGTGACTCAGTGGTTAAGTGCCCCTGGGTTCAATTCCCAGTGCAAAAAAAATTAGAGTTCTAGAACTTTATAGCTTTATTATATATGTGCCCATAATATGTATCATCCCATATACCACACAACAGCTCCTAGAAATAGAGCCCCATTTTTCAGATGAGGAAACTAAGGCTGAGAAGAGTTTAATATTTCCCTCAAAATCATACTAAAAGTGGTGGCACACAAATTTGAGCATAGATCTCCAACATTTAATCCTCTACTCATCATTTTCTTTAACATAGAACAAAATTAAACAAGTAGGTTCTTGAAAAATCTTCAGATTTCATAAATGAGTAATTAGGTGGTTAATTATTTGCATTACAAAATAATTCTGTTTATCACTGAGTTTCAATACAGACTCCCAGAGATCCTTAATTATTGGATATCAAGAAATACAGAGAAAATTAAAACTAAGACTAAAATACAAGAATGCTAATAATGGGAAGACTGCCAAAAGTTCAGAATCATTTGTTTGTTCATTCAACATGTGTCTACTTAGCACCTGCTTTAAAACACATAATAGATCTTGAAGAATAATAACAAAGATGTGTATGTAGTCCCTGCCTTCCTGGAATTTATAATAGCAAGGAAGACACTAAAATTTCTTCCAAAATCAACGTAAAACTACGACAAGAAGTATTACAAAATAAAGATTCTTGGTGCTATTAAGTGTTTAATAAGGATACCAAATTTCATCTTGGGGTTTCAAAGAAACCCTCTCTCAGAGAAAAATCTGAAGGATAACTGGAATCTGCTTAGTTTGGAGGAAAGGAGGCATGTGCTAGGTGAAACTGCATGTAATAGAAGGTCTGTAAGATGGGAGTAATATGGTAAATTTGAAGAGCTGAAAAAACACTATTGTGCTAAGCACAGAGCACAAGAAAATATAAGCACAGTAGCACACACCTATAATGCCAGCTGAGGCAGGAAGGCCATAAGTTTAAGGTCAGTCTGGGCAATTTAGCAAGACCATGTTTGAAAAATAAAATAAAAAGGACTAGGGCTATAGGAAGAAAGGAACATTCGCCTAGGAGTAAGCAAGGAGGCCCTGGGTTCCAGCTCTGCAAAAAAAAGAAAGAAAAGAAAAGAGAAGTAAGCACAAACTCTACTATGTTGCCAAGTTTGGTGATTACAATTTTTACAGTAAGAACAATGAGAAGCTACTGAAGGATTTTGAGTGAATACGTTACATGATCAGATCTGATTTGTGAAAAAGTCACGGGGGGAGAATTCAGAGAGGCCAATTAAGATACTACTAAAGAAATCCAGGCAAAATATGGTCTGCCTTATAGATGCAAATGTTTTTTTGTGTGTGTCTTTCATTATTACTGCAGTTGCTTTAAGTTAGTGTAATTTTGAAAGGTACTTATATGTGTGTGTGGTTCCAGAACCCTAGGCCACACCAGTACTAGAAGACCAGATATGTTTTGGGGGGCAGAATTATAATTATCAATTACTTAGCTAGACTTTCATGTATATGCCTGTCTTTGAAGTGTTTTAGTCTTTATTTTGTAGGTGGTTAAAGCTCATAAACAACTTGATCAATGTGATTAACAAGAATCAGGAATCCTCTTCATTAAATTAAAAAAAAAAAGAAAAGAGATAATTGCTGAGTCAAATTAGATTGAAAACCCTTTAGCCTAGTATTTTCTGAGTGATATTTTTTGAAGTTGTTATGCAATCCAAATGTTGAAATTCTCTTAGAACACTTTTAGTTTATCTCAGTACTTTTTTTTTTTTTAAACCATTGAGCTACATCCCCAGCCTTTTTACAAATTTTATTTTGAAACCGGGTCTTTCTACCTTGGTGAGACTGACTTCAAACTTGTGATCTTGTGTCCTCCGAATTGGCCTCTCCTAGTCTTGGCAGCAGTAGTGCTTCTTCAGACACTAACTCTGTAGTAGTTGCTAAAATACAAAAGAGTAAGGACCTTTTTAAAAGTAGTAACTTGTCCATTTCTCCTTTTTTTTTTTTTTTCCTTTCTTTCTCTTTTGGTATTGGAGATTAAAACCTTATAGCACTTTACCACTGAGCCAACATCCTCAGTCCTTATTATTTTTTATTTTTGAGACAGGGTCTTGCGAAGTTGCTGAAGCCAGCCCAGAACTTATGATTCTCTTGCCTCAGCTTCCTGTATCACCAGGATTACAGATGTGCACCACCACACCTGGCTCCTTTCTTTTAAATATTTAAATTTAATTCCACAAATACTTATCAAGTACCTATTATTTCTGGTAGGTGACATATTCAGCTCCTATCACATGGACTAGATTTTCAGCTTTATAGTATACTTCCAAATTTATACTATACTTCCAAGATAATGTGGATTTTCAATATATGCAGACTTCCGGAGTATATGCTTTTATCTGGGGAGGAGGTTAATAGCTTTCATAAATTTTCACAAGTTTTTACTATAAAAAGGGAGATTGCTTATCTGGACACGTGGAATGATTCTGAACCCTGAATGCTCATTTATCACCTGTAGAAAACTTTAAAAGTAATGATAATCTAAGCACAATCCCAGGTGTAGAAATTGTGATTCAGTGAATTTGAGATAGAACATCATCTAAGTGGGGTTGAAAGGCTTTGGTCTAGATAAGAGTAACATTTGAATGAGACTTAATGAGAGCAGAAGTTATTTGCTCATAGCTAAATATCTAGAGTCCAGAAAGTGGTCACATGGTAGACGCTCAGAATATATTTATTGAATAAGTACTAAAGCCCTCCAGTTTAAAAAGTTAAGACAGTACAAACAAGAGGTTTTTAATCTTGAATAGTTTAAACCTTTATTTTTTTTTTAATTATTATCACTGTTTGTGTGTGTGTGTGTGTGTGTGTTGCTGGAGATTGAACCCTGAACCTCATACATGCAAGCACTCTACCACTGAGCTCCAGCCTGATAATCTATTTTTTTGTAATTGATTGGAGGCTTTTAAATTTTGACAATCGTAGTGTATACAAGGCTATGGAGTAAATAGAAACTCTTTTTTTTTTTTTTTTAAGAGAGAGAGAGAGAGAATTTTTTAATATTTATTTTTTAGTTTTCGGTGGACACAACATCTCTGTTTGTATGTGGTGCTGAGGATCGAACCCGGGCCGCACGCATGCCAGGCGAGAGCGCTACCGATTGAGCCACATCCCCAGCCCCAAGAAACTCATATTATTGTTTGGTTTATAAATTAATGATTTTTAAAAATGATTTGACATTATCTAGTAAAGATGGACATATTCAATAACTCAGTAATTTTATTCCTAAGTATCCTAATTTAGAGAACTTCTTAAACATGTACTCCAAGAAGTGAGTACAATAATGTTTGTTAGCCAGGCATGGAAGCACAGACCTGTAAGACCCTGTCTCTAAAGAAAATACAAAATAGGGCTGGGGATGTGGCTCAGTGGTCTGATGCCCCCAGGTTCAATCCTTGGTAACCAAAAAAATAGTGTTTGTTGTAGCATTATTAAAACAAACAAACAGAAACTCTAGAAATAACCCAAATGCCCATATAAAACGTATTTTGATATCTTTAAACAGTGGAAATATTATTTGTTCAATGAAAGTGAACAAACTCCAGCCTCAGATATCATCAAGCATGAATTTAAAGTTGGAAAACTAAATATGCTGCTGCTTAGGGATGATAGGCACAAATGTATCAAATTATAAAGAAAGCCAGAAGAAAGGTCAGCAGAATTCAGGGTGGTAGTTTCCTATTTAAGGCTAGAAGAAGTTATATTATTGACATGCTGGAGGAGACTATAGAACTTCAGGGCTGGGGATGTGGCTCAAGGGCTGGGGATGTGCCTCAAGCGGTAGTGCGCTCGCCTGGCATGCGTGCAGCCCGGGTTCGACCCTCAGCACCACATACAAACAAAGATGTTGTGTCTGCCGAGAACTAAAAAATAAATATTAAAAAAAAAAGAACTTCAAAGATAGTTGCTAATATTTTATTTCTGGACCTGAGTGGTTAGTGCATGGATGTAGATATTTTTTATTATTTTTAACTTAAAATGTCCTATCTTATATATACTTTATGATTCTTGACTCTAAAGAAAAAGCATGATTCAAGTGAATTAAAGATTAGTCCTATAATTTTACTCATTTGTATTCCAGTGTGCTTTCTTGAGTGGTTGAGAAATAGGTGGCATTTAAACTAATAGGTGAGGAAGTTTTTGTGGGAGGATGATATACATTTGAACATTTCCTTCATGTGTATCATGAAAAATGGTTGAAAACCACTGCTGGTAAGAGCATGTAATTTTAGTAGGATAGGCAGACTTGTAAACAGATAACTGTAATATAATATGACTATTTTAATGAAGAAGTAAATGAAAAAAGTAATGGCTAGAGGTTAGCCAGGAAATAGAAATAGAAACTGATATTATTATTTGGTATATAAATTAATAATTTTTTAAAATGATTTGACATTATCTAGTAAAGATGAACATATTCAATAACTCAGTAATTTTATTTCTAAGTATATATCTTAATTTGGAGAACTTCTTAAACATGTACTTTAAGAAGTGAATACAATAGTGTTTGTTAGCCAGGCACGGTGGCGTTATTTAAGCTAGGACTTTAGAAAGAATTAGAAATTTATTAGGGAAGGTTGGTAAGGGAGCCAGCATTCCCTGATGAAGAAAAAGGATATACAAAGGCACAGAAGACTAAAAGTAATGCAGGTTGAGTGAGTAAATGCAGATATGTCAGGAGTCATATACACTGTGGAGTTTGCTCTATGGGCATTGAGGTTTTTTCACTTAAAGATATTTATATTCAAAGCTTTGTGCTAGGAGTAACTTTGAAACTCTGTGTATCTGTATTTATTTTCTTTTTCTTCCACTTGCAGGCTGCTATATGGCAAGCACTAAACCATTATGCTTACCGAGATGCAGTTTTCCTTGCAGAGCGACTGTATGCAGAAGGTTTGTAAATTTTCATTTATATAGAACTATAAATAAAATGCATGAAATTCCATCACTTTTATGACTAACAAGATTCTTAGTATCACCCTCTTGTATTTTCTTTATAATTAACCACTAGTTCATAAAAACTTTACCTTTTATCTATGTGGCTCCTTTTGTTTATTTTAATAACCATAGAGTTGATTCAGGTTTATAGACTCTGATGTATTTAATCATTTCCCATTCTTTAGGGTTTCTTTCCCTAGGTTGTTTTTTTGTTTTGTTTTGTTTTTTGTTTTTTTGGTACTGGGGATTGAACTCAGGGACACTCAACCACTGAGCCACATCCTTAGCCCTATTTGTAATGTATTTAGAGAGAGGGTCTCACTGAGTTGCTTAGTACCTCGCTGTTTTCTGAGGCTGGCTTTGAACTCGTGATCCTCCTGCCTCAGCCTCCCAGGCTGCTGGGATTACAAGAGTGTGCCACCGTGCCCGGCTCTAGGTTTGTTTTTTAATTAGAATAGAGTTTATGTTCTGTAGCTAACAACATGGATTTAGAATCCATAACTATGGCACAAATCCTAATCCTGTCACTCAAATATACATTTTTATGACCCTAGGCAAGTTATATAATGTCTGAGCTTTTCAGATTTTTCATTTATAAATATTAATAAGTATAGAATTGAATATATATGAATTTATTTTTCATTAATAAAATGGAATTATGGAATTGAAAAAGTAAGCAGGATAATATATTTAAAGCACTTGGCACAGACATTTAACATGGTAATAAATGCTTAATAAACATTTTGTAATGTGTTTTGTTTCTATCATTAAATTTTTATAATTATTTTGCTAAGATGCTGGTGTAGATAATTGTGACTTTTTAATTTTTTTATTTTTTTAAATATATTTTTTTAAATTCTATATGGACAGGATGTTTTTATTTATTTTTATGTGATGCTGAGGATCAAACACAGTGCCTCACATGTGCTAACCAAGCGCTCAACCACTGAACTACAACTCTAGCCCTGATAATTATGACTTTTCAGTTCTGCTATTTAACATTTTCATTTATTTGAACTTAAATCAGCTTTGTCATTTTCTCATTGCTTTAGTAGCTGGAAAATTGTCATCTTAACAGCTATACTAAGTACATGGTTCTTGGTACATTAAATTTTTTTCAAAGAATTTATAGTAGTATATTGAGTAAGATAAGAGCCAAAAATTCTGTTATTTTACATTATTACTTAAAATAAGTCCCACATGGTATTTTACTTATTTGGGGGAGCGTTGTTTAGTTTGCGGAGGGTGGGGGATTGGGGGGTTACTGGATATTGAACCCAGGGGCACTTTATCACTGAGCTACATCCCCAGCCATTTTTATTTTTTATGTTGAGGTAGGGTTCCACTAAGTTACTTAGTTCCTTGCTAAGTTGCTGAAGCTGACCTCAAACTTTACATCCTCCTGCCATAGTCTCTCAAGTTGCTGGGATTACAGGCATGCATCACTGCACCTGGCTCTTACTTGGTTTTATATTAAATTTTTTAAAATATCTGGCTTTGCCACCAGAATCTCCTCTTTTCCACTAGTTAATTTTCTTTCTTTTTGTATTTTGGCAGGAGAGGGGTCAGTTACTGGGGATTGAATCCAGGAGCATTCTACCTCTAAGTTACATTTCTAATCCTTTTTATTTTATTTTGAGATAGGGTCTTGCTAAATTAAATTGCCCAGTCTGGCCTTGAACTTGTGATCCTCCTGTCTTGGCCTTTTGAGTAGTTGAGATTCAGATGTACTACTGTATCCATCTTAATTTTCTATTTTTAAGTCAATATCATATTATTTTATAATTAACACTTTATATTCTTTCCATATTTAATAAGGCATATCTCCCATTATTGCTTTTTTTCCTATCAAATTTATGCTTTACTGAGAAGTCTTTAACTTTTTGTAATTTTATTTTTCCAAGTGCATTTTCTTACTGCTTTGAAATTACACAAAGACTCCTAGGGATGTGGCTCAATGGAAGTATGCTTTCCTAGCATGCACAAGGGCCTTTGAGATCAAATCTCATCACTGGGGGAAAAAAAGAAAAATAATGTATGGCTGAAATTACACAGAGATTTGATCAATGCTGACCCTGTACCATGTAGGTCTATAAATTAAGAGCAACTGACATCTCTACTATGAATACATATACATGTATGTGGCAAATTGGGTATATAAATGCTTTTATGTACATGTATAGACCAGAAACAGTAGTGTGTTCTTTTTATTAATTTGTTTGTTTTAGTTTTTTTTATTTTTTGTATTGTTTCCATTGGATTACTTGCCAAAAGTTTTCAATTGGTAATGTTTGCAGGTGAGCTTTATTTTTGTGTGTTTTGTGTATTCCCGAATGAATTGATAATCCAACCTTTCTGTATTAGGATTTTTCTCTAGTAGTAAGTGCTTAGTAACTTTACTGTAAGCATAAAGAAGGTGGATATCAGAGGTTTGCCAGGCATTTGTCACAAAAGGAGAAGAGATTAAGAATATTAAAAATATATAGCCGGGAGACTGGGGTTGTAGCTCAGTGGTAGAATGTTTGCCTAGCACTTGTGAGGCACTGGGTTCAATCCTCAGCACCACATAAAAATAAATAAAATAAAGGTATTTAAAAAAATATATACATATATATATATATATATATATATATATATCCAGGCCAGTGGCACATGCCTATAATCCCAGTGATTTGGGAGGCTGAGACAGGAGGATTTCAAGTTCAAAGCCAGCTTCAGCAAAAGCGAGGCACTAAGCAACTTAGGTAAGACCCTGTCTCCAAATAAAATACAAAAAATAGGGCTGGGGATGTGGCCCAGTGGTTGAGGGCCCCTGAGTTCAATCCCTGATACCCCTTCCCTCACCAAAAAAAAAAGAATAAATACATATATATACACACACATACATACATACATATACACACACACACATACACACACACATATATAGACAAGATGTGGGTCAGGTAAAGTTAAGTCAGAGGTGGTTGATAATTAAGAAAGAACAGAGAGGTCAGGGCACCAAAGTTCATATGAGGTCTAATTGAGAGATGTATGAGAATAATGTTGGAGAGGAAGATCATAATCCACACCCAGAATTCTTTCATTAATGAAGCAAAGAGTCATGAGTTCAGTAGCTGAGACTTCTAAGAAGAAGATATGAACCTCAGGATCAGGGATTTCTCAAAAGGACAGGAGTAAAGCTTGGGAATAGTCTTGAGAAGGAAGGTGAAACCTCCTTATCTTACTCCGAGGTAACTGACATATGAGGAATTTAACTTTCCTTTGAAAGTTCAGTGAAGCTTCTGGGAGAGAACAGGAGCTAAGTGAGAAAAGTGGGGAAGATCCGTGCAGCAGGAGTTTGAGGTCCCAATGAAAAGATTGACAAGGGTAAGAAGGAAAGACTGGTTTAGAAAGAAGATAGAATAGATTACCCTCTTCTACTTCGTTATGCAAGAGCAAGGTTTATCAGAATCTGTTTTTATTTTCATCAATACCTAGGCAGCACCAGTTTTTCTGTGTTATATTTCTAATCTTTCTTTTTTCAATTTGTTGATCATAACAGAGCTGGAGGTGTAGTTCAGTGAAACACTACTGGCATAGAATGTGAAAGGCCCTGGGTTTGAACCCCATCACCACAAAAAGAAAACAAAACTATGCAGTTTATTTTTCATTGCAATTAGGCTCCTAAAGGTTGTACTCATTTAGAATTCAGATAATTGAGGGGCTGGGGTTGTGGTTCCCTGGTAGAGTGCTTGCCTAGCACATGCAAGGCACTGGGTTTGATCCTCAGCACCACATAAAAATAAATAAATAAATAAAATGAAGCTATTATATCCAACTACAACAAAAAATATAAATATTTAAAATTTTTTTAAAAATCAGATAATTGAATTTTCCCACTGAATTAGTAGTGGAATTCCCAGATTAGTCCACACAAAGCTGTAATCCACATGTTATGTGTGCATAATAAAATGCTTGACATTTGGGAAGTTGCTTGGTGTGCATGTGTTTGTGTGTGTGTGTGTGTGTGTGTGTGTGTGTGTGTATTTCTCAATATAGGACCTAACCGCTTCATTTAACTTATTAAATATTTTTTTAGTTGTAGATGAACACAATATATTTTTATGTGGTGCAGAGGATCGAACCCAGCGCTTCACACATGAGAGGCGGGCACTCTACCACTGAGCCACAACCCCAGCCCTTAACTTTATTTTTATGAGGGAAAATTTTAGAATTTTAGTGCATTGAGTGCAGATATCATCACTCAATTAAAAACAATAATTCTGTCGTTTATTGACTTCTTACTATATCTGGGTGACCTAAGTGGTTAATATTATTTTCTTATATAACCTTCCATAATCCTATATAGTGGATATTGCTATTGCCTTTTTGAGGTGAAGAAACTTGACCATTGTCCATAGGCAGTAACTGGTTTATTCTTTCTGATTCCACTTTATCAAGGGTAGCAAATCCTTGCCACTTCTCTGATTTGCAGTCATAGTAGACATCACTAGTTCATCACAGTACTCATTCCACTGAATCAACCTCAGAATTCTTTTTAGCACAGTGTTCTTGGTTGGCACGTAGCTGATAGACTACATGTAACCTCTTTGCTTAGTGACCTCCTATGCTTCTAATGTTTTGGAAAAACATGTATTTTCTAATGTTTTGGAAAAAACATTCCACAAGGCATGAGGCCAAAGAACTTGATGGGTTGAATCTTTTGTTAGTTAAATTTTTGAAATATTTTCTGAATTTCAGTAGTTCCTTGTTACCCATTTTTCTTTCTCCTAAGGAGTTTCATAGCCTGGTGTAGACTATAGTGTAAGAGAGGAAGAACAGCAGAATGGTGTAAGAATCTGAACTCATATTCATTAACCATTTGATCTTAGACAAGAAGAAGTTATTCTGAGTCTAATTTTCCACATCTTTAAGAAGGAAAAATATCTAGTGAACAAGTAATTTCGAAGACCCACATATATAAAGAATTTACTATAGTTCTGGTATATAGGAAGTCCTTTACAA